GTAACACGTGCATCCAGCTGCGAGGATCAAGCAGCCCTTGGCCCACCTGTAACCAAGGGAAAGGGGATATGGCAAAGCCCTCATTAGGGACAGATAGGAATGAAGGGGACTGTGAAAATGAATCTTCTTTAGTTAAATGAATTTCATCTTCAGAATGGGAGGCTTAACGAGTCAAGCTTGGCAATTAGAGTCATTACTCCTAAATGTTTAATTACATAAATGCATCTGCAAATACACGCCAGGCCTGAGGTTTCTTGCCTGTAGTAAATGCATGGATGTGCCGATCTGTGCATCAAATAAATCACAGCATTTAGGCATGTGACCTGGCAGAACTGCATCTGCTGAGCTAGAGGAGGAGGGAAGGCATGTAGGAAAATACCTGCAAGCACCAGCATTGCCCCAGTGGACATGGAACTTGGCAGCCAGGGAGGTCAGGATGTGGGAGTAGGGAGCAAGGACAACCAACCCAACAACTGCCATGTGAGATCTGCTGCAAGCTCTGGGGTGTTATTCTGGAGACTCCAATTTCATCTTTTTGCAGTACTTGGCCACTGTAAGCCTTTTAGACATCCTTGAGGCAGGCACAGTGTGGGCAAAGAGAAACCTAAAGCAGGGGATTAGAAATCTGAGGCAAAAGGTAAAAGGGATCTGGGAAGGAAATTTTGGAAATGTTCCCCATGTGTAGGGTTGTGAGGAGTGTCATTCCCAGCCTGTGCACAAACATTACAGATAGTTTGGAGCACATTGGTCAGCTTTCCAGATTAAGGTAAAGAGAAACCCGTGTGTGAGAAGGCACACACGGGCCTCCCAGGACACTCATATTGGGCTCTCCATGCTCATTAAGCTAACAGGAGGCTAATTAGGGTGATTGGGTGTGGGGATTGTGCCAGAATGCCTGAAAGCACTGGAATTTATAGGTGGACTCAAGGCTGCCACATATGCCCTGCTTTTCTCTGGTTAAATCCTTTCTGTTTGGTACAGATTTCCAGAGGTGCAGCAGCTGAAATCCCAATGGACTCTCTCCATGAGCACTTCCCACAAGTCAGGATGTCCTGCACAACTGTAGAACCTGCATGCTGTGCTGTGCACAGGTGCAGCAGGTCCTCTGCTCCCCAGAAAGCCTCAGCCACTGGAGCATGTTCAGTCCAGCTGCTTGATACCCTTCCCAAAATTGTGGGATTCACAAGTCTCACCCACATGGATAACCACAGTCACACAGGAATTCTCACCCAATGCTGATAGCCTTATGTAGGACAGTTTCCAGGCAGGGCAGTCTCACCTGTCTCCCATTTCCAAAGTTTAGTGAAGACTTTTGAAAGACTTTGGGAAGTCTCTCTGGTTTGCACTGGATTCACTTTGGTGACAGTAAAGAGAAATGTGGAATTCTCATGAGCAAATGTTCTCTGATGAAATTTCTGCAGTAGCTTTTCCTGGTATGCCCAGATTCCTGAATCCTTTAAATTCCTTTAAATGCATTTTCTTCATTTATCACCAAAAAATGCAATCAGTAGAAATCTAACAGCCTTCTACATAATTCAAGATACAGGACAAATGGCCCAAAACTTCTTACACCAAGCTGTTATTACAATCCCACTGGTTTTTCAGGGAAGTTTCTTTGCTGCCCTTCCACAGTCCAAGTGTTCTGACTGTTACTTAATGAATCAGGTAATTTCAATTTTTTTTTTAAGTGTAAGTTCTGCCTATCTGCAAATTTCACCTGGTGCTTCTGCATTGTATCCCTCAACTTTTAAAAGGTCACGTAGGAGCCTGTTCAAATCAATGGTATCACCAGTTGTGGAGAGTCACCATCCCTGGAAGTGTTCAAAAAGTGTGTGGATGTGGCAATTGAAGACATGGTGGTGTGCTGGGCTTACAGCTGGACTTGATAATCTTAAAGGTCTTTTCCAATCTTAGATTCTGTGATTCTAAATTAGATTCTATGATTCTAATTTTGTTGTAAAGTGCTGCTTAATAAGGACAGCAAGAACACAGGCCTGTGAACCTAGGAGCTATAGATCCATAACAAACTACTGCAAGCCTTGAGAAAGGATAGATTAAAGGGGGCTGGACCTTGAGAGCTGCATATCAGCCCTGACTGCACAGCTGGGAAATGAGCCCTTCTGCTTCCATTGCCTTCTGCTTCTTGTGCACTGACTTGTGCTTTGTGGGTGCACAGTGGGCATGAAAATAAGCCACCGTTGGTAAATAAATAAAAAAGGAGCACTGCTTCATCACCTTGGTTGGAGACTGCAGGAGGTTTCCTGAGTCTCAGCAGTGAGTTCAGACATCTCTGTGAGAGTTAACAGGAAAGAGTTGGGGCACAGGGAGGCATTGGATCAGGAGCATTCAAGCTGTGACATGAGCTGGCACACATAAGGTGACAGCAGCTTTGCCACCTCCATACTCACATGAGCCAGAGCACAGCGCTGCTGTCCAAGCCCTTGGGTTGGTGCTGGTGTGTCTTGTCTGGGTGTTTCAAAAGAGAAAGTAAATACAGAAGCATGTATGGTGGGTGGGTCTGTAGTACTGATACTGTCTGGCCAAAGAGGCACTGCTGGGAATTGATTTTCAGTCTCCAGATCTGGCACTGGAGGCTGGAAGTGAATCCTCCCAGGCAGCCAAGTGCAGACGTGATTGCCTGTTCAATCCACATCGCTGTTTCCATGCACTCCACTCCACTGAGCAAACACAGCTCCGTGCTGGCAGGGATTACTGTTTGTTCTCTCCAGCTGCAGCTTTGCTTTGTCTGGGAGTAGCTTTGCCGAGATTCAATTTAGGGTCCCAAAAAAGCTTTAACAAAGCTCCAAACTGCAAAGGCAAACAAAAGAGAGCAGGAAAAAAAGGTAATGAAATGTAACGAATAAAATACTGCTGTATGACCACAATAACTTGGGATATTGGGAACTGCTCAAGAAGCTACTTTGCTTTAACAGAAGCTGCCACAGCAGAAATCACTTCAGAAAAGCACTCCTGCTCTCCAGTGTTTCATTTTTGGTGTGTGGATGAGAGATTCAGCATCCCTCTGCATCCAAGTCCTGCTATTCCAGCCAAGACAGGCAGGAAGCCTTGCAGGGTCTGCAAGATTCCTGCAGCAGCTGAAAGGGAGGCTGTGTAACACAAGACCCTTTATTTGGGCAGCAGCTCTATTGTCTGTTTAATAGTTTAATACACCCCCAGAACAGAAAACATGAGTCAAGTATTTACCCTGAGATTTAGGCTGAGCACTACAGTGATCCTGAACAATAGAGAATTCCCTATTAGTGTTAGGTTTTAATGAACAAGCCTAAACTGAGGAATGCTTTAGCTCTCTGTGTAACTAACCTCATGGTTTAAGGTCCTGGTAACATTTTTTTCTTTATCTAAAACGGGTCATGTTTTGTAAATTTTCTTTGTAGCCATAAGAATCCCTTCATTTAAGGAATTTCTTTGAGTCAATGAAGGTAGACATTCTCTTCTACCTATTGCCTGAGAATATGCCCTGTTTGATTACAGATCTTATAATTCAAATCTGGAAAAGCAAAGTTTTCCCATGTTTCTTGTTTATGCTCAAAACTGTGGTTTGTGGGCCTGTGCAACCCTGCCAGTACTGCCTTGCTGCCCTTCTCCTGGAAGCTGCTTCTGTCTCCATGTTTCCTGTAGAAAAGTCAGCTCTTGGAGGAATTTAATCTTTACAGTCTAAAGGATTTGTCCCGACATGCAATAGCATACTCCAAATGTATGGGCACACCTCATCCACTTTGAGTTAAAAAGCAAAATAAACCTTAAAAGCACAGCTCCCCTGGTTGTACAGCCTCTCCTTGCTGGCTCTTGCAGTAGCAGGTTTTTCAAGTAGTCCACCATGGGCTCTCTCACCTTCATCTCGCAGTTGTTTCTAAAATGTGGGAGGCTTATCATTCCCTTCAATATCTTTGTTCTTATCAATCAGGGCTATGAAACTGCCTATTGCCTTTTCAGGTTTCCAGGCAAACACCTCCTCCTTAAACTTCTCTTCTAATCCAACTTGTTGGCAACATTGTCCTTTAGAAGCAGAGGGAGAGGCATGGACTATAGACATAAAAATTCTGATATCTCTTGTTTCCATAGGTATTGTCAGGTATTACTCTGGAGCAGCAACATCCAGCACATGCCCCTGCTCAGTGCTTATGTGAGCAGGCAACACTGATCTCTGTACTGCAAAATAGGTGGTAATACAAAACAGAGTTAAGCTCGACATCAAGATCCCTTCCTTCTGCTGCTTTAACCCTTCAATTTTAAGGCTGGTTTGAGAAGGTTTGACTCCTTAGTGCTTAAAACAGACTGAAAAACCACGGGGCTGGTCTCAGTGCCGGGTATCAGCTCTGCCCCAGAAACTGGGGGCTACACAAGTCATTGATGTTGACTTTCACCCGATTCTTTACTGGTGCCTGCCCACAAATCCCTCCCAAAGTCTCCGCCGGCTGCCCGAGTAACGCGGACTCCCCGCTAGATGTCAGCGTGCCTCCTGCAAATCACCGCGGGTTAATTAAAAGCCTCTAATGAGGCTCCCTCATCTAGCCAGGCTTCCAGCGGGCTGGTGGGGACGCACCTGCACCAGACACTTTCCAGAGGAGATTTGTCCCAAAACGCTTTTGGCATCATTGGGAGGATCTGTCCGTGGATGGGTGCCCACCCCAGCGCCTGGCACTGCCCTCCAAACAGCCTCTCTGGGCACTGGAGGTGTTTAATTGTATTTATTCTGAGGGAAATAGGCTTTTTTAAATTAAATGTGACCCGCAGCTGCTCTGCAATGACCAGGGTCCAGCAGCCAGCACCGAGTTCTGCATCTGACAAGAGCCTGTCTGCTGGGGCTGAAAGAGTATTTCTATTTCCAGTTTATTTGCTTAGCTGGCTAAGGACACCTCAAGAAGCTCACTGACGACTGAAAAAGAAGAAAACTTCTTTTTCATTATCCTCCAACCTGTATAATGGCCACCAATATGTGCAATATTGGATTAAATATTTTTTATTTTCCTCCTGCCTAGGAAAGGAAGATGGCTGAGGATGAGAGCTAGCACTTCTTGAAATCCAGAAAAAAAACCTCAAAATCCAATTACAGGAAAAGCTTCTTTGTTTAATGAATCACTTTGTTTTGTTGTTTGTTTTTTTAAAAGTGTAAGTTATGTGTAATTTCCTGTATGTATTCAGTTACTTTGTAGAGTAAAATCAAATTTTAAAGCACTCGTATGCTCATTTTTAATTGTAACCCGACCTGACCTAAGAGAAAAATAATCATGTTAAAAAAAGAAGCGTTATACACCATTTCTAATAGTTTCATTAAAATTTCTAATAGTTTCATTAAAATATAAGTAGGAATCTGAATAAATGCATATAAGATCCAGACTTTTACTGGAATAAGTAAAGGCCACAGGTGCCTTCCTGGTTAGTCACAGCTAATTAATTCTGATGGCCTCTAAACCTAATCTTCCTTTAAAAATTTAAATTACTGCGGAGAACCATTGCAAAAAGAAACTTAAAATAGCAGAGAGATATTTTAAATTAAGATTTCCTGATTGTTGAACTTTGTCAAATTCATCACTTCAATCCATTCCTGAAATGTACAGTTAATCACCTCCTCTAAATACAAAGCACAGGAGGTGATTTCCCTTCTGCAGCTACTTCTCTGGATTCAGCCTTTTCATTACATTGTAATTACAACGGCTCTTCAAACTTGTCATGAAAATAAAGGATTAGTAGAACCAAAAATGAAAGTTTAATAGCACAGACTAAACATCAGCTATGAGCAACTTCAGCTCTGGCTTCTTACCCCAATGCTATTTAATTTTTGGACTTGTCTGAGGTGAATAAAGAGCACAGAGCAAAATTATGCAGTGAACTTTGTTATTGAAACAGCATGGAGTAATACTTTGAACTTGAGAGTGATTGACATTTTGGTTTAGTCCACAGTGGTAGTGAAATTACAGCATTTTTGTGTCACATAGGGCTTTTTTGGGGGCTCATCAGGCACTTGGAGATGAACTGTTTCATTGCTGCAGCAAGCACATGCTCTCCCACACCCAGCTTACTTCCCCTTGCACTAGCAAGAGCTGAGTTTTGTCCTAAAAAGTCATGTTCTTTTATAGAAATGCAGTCTGCTCGTGCACATGCAGCTTGGTTTGTATGGCCTGGAGGGACCTTGACCTGTTTTTTTGTTGGGTTTGGTGGCACATCTGGAGGCCTGTGCTGGACCTTGCTGCATATTGGGACAGTTCACTGCACATCTGCTGGGGAGCAGCAGCTCCTGCTGCAAGGTCACACTGGAGAGTGGCTTTGGGGAGCAGCTCTGTGCATCAAACACCAGCACATCCAGTTCCCCCACCCCTCACTCTTAGCTCCCAGCGTGGCCTGCCAGGGCACTCAACCAGCCCAGCCTGAAGCTATTTTAACATCTTGAAATGAGCTGATGGTTGGTTCAGGTCCCTGAAGGACAAGGTGGCTGCAGGTCAGTGGGTACCAGTGCCAGCACCACAGTCCTGCCCAGCCAGAGTGTGCTGGGGAGGGGACCAGGGACAGAGCACACACCTCAGGGGCTGGGGACAGGTGAATGGGCTCAGCCACATCACAAAATCACATGCTTAAGATTACTCCCTTTGCATTGTATCTAGTGCTGACATGGCCACAGGATGAATTTGTTCAGAAGCATCCCAAAAAGTGCCTCCATGGGAGAGGAGAACGGAATAGAATGTCTCAGTAGGGAGGGACCTGGAAGGAACATCTCATCCAACTACCTGACCAAAAGTTACAACTTCTTATTAAGGGCATTGTCCAAATGCCTCTTAGACACTGACAGGCTGGGGGCATTGAGAGCCTCTCTAGAAAGACTATTCCAGTGTTTGACCACACTCACTGTAAAGAAAGGCTTCCTAGCAGCTTTCTGTTGGATCTGCTGGCTGAGCTCACTCTGGTGACCTCTCATCACTGAACCTGGAAGGAGAGAGCACAGCTGAGGCAGCTCAGGATGGGATCACCCTACTGGGACTGACCCACTTAGACCAGCTCAAACAAAACCCTGGCTCATGCTCATCCAGAGCAGAGCTTCCAGAAGCTGCAGCCTGTGCCCTGCCTGCTCTCCCCTTCCCTGATCCATCAGCCGTGGCTCTCCATGCTGGCTCCAGCCAGCCATTGATAACCAATTACACACCTTTTTCCAGACTGCTCTGCAGCTGCATCAGCTCATTTAAGCTGGGATTTATGCTGATGCATAAATCAGTCTGATGCAGAGGAGATGTGAAGGCCACCTGGCTAGAGGTGGTGAGGAAAAGAGAGAAATTAATCTTGGAGCAGCAGCAAGGCCCTGCATCATCCCCTCCACCTGAGCCCTGGCCCTGCCAGGACTTCATTGCTCTTCACACCCACATTTCCCCCCTCTTTGCCCTTGTCCTCACCTGCATGAGCATCAGCTCTGCCAGGGACTCCTCAGCTCCAGTCTCCCTCCAGGTGCTCACCCAGACCATTTTGTTCACCCAGACCATTTTGCTCCCTGTCCACCAAACCCCCAGGAGGCTCAAGCACCAGTTTGACCAGTTTAGGTTTGAACAGGTCCAACCTCTGCCTGCCTCTGCCAGGAATGAGGTCCTGCACAACAACTGTATTACCTCTGACACATCCAGGGCCATATACAGGCTCTTCTTACCCTTTTCTCCTTTGCCACAGGATTTTAGGCACTGCAAACCCTAAAAATAACAACTCCTGGAAGAACTGCCATCATCACAAAATTTGTGCCGTGTCTTGGTGTTCTCCTTTGACCTTGTTTTTTCAAATGCAAGCAGTACATGATACATGATAATGTATTACATTAGGCTGTGTATCAGTAGATATTCTCTAGAAGTTTAAATTTGGAAAAGCTTTTAGTTTTATTTCTGCAGAATAAAAGGCAGGGATTCACTGTATGGCAGTGGGGAGATGTCCAGCCCCTTCCTCTGGTGCCCAAAATTGGCAGGGGCAGCTCAGCTTCCTGCTGTCTCTAGTGTATATCTGAGCAGCATCTGGGACTTGCCCGCATCAGGAGTAATTTAGGAGTGATAATGAAAGGAGAAGTTCTGATTGGCAGAGGGGAAAAGGGGCTATTTCTGCCCTCTGAGGCTGAGCCCAAATCCAGCTGTGGGAGGTGTGAGCAGCTGTCTCTGAGCCAGGCTTGTCTCCAGCCCTAATGCTGGGTGAGTTCACCCTAACGTGGGGTGCAACATCCCCAGGGTGGGGATGGAGGATTGCAAGGTTCTGGGGAGGTGTGGGGAGACCAGGGGGTCATGGGTCCCACCTGTAGGGCCCTGCAGAGTCTGGGGGGTGAAATCACAGCAATGCTGCACCAATCCTGGTGATTTAACCCCAGCTTTGTGCCGGCATGGACTCTTCCTGCAGTCATTTCCTTCCCTTTCCTTGACATGGGAGGGTGACTGCTGATATTTGGGCTGCACACAAAATAACATGAGGGGTTTATTTGATCCTGCAAATTCGATTAAGGTGTTGCTCTGTGGTCAGAGGATGAACAAGCAAACCTGTGACTGGGACTAACATTTGCCTGGTGGCTGCCTGCACGGAATGGGATTGTTGGAACACGTGCTCCTGTGGAGCAGAAGATCCCCCCGACAGTGCCTGACACCAGGGCCATGGTGGCCAAAAATAGCTGGGTCTGTCACAGGGAGGGTGACACCCCTGGGGGGCTGAGGCCACACCTCAAGGGACAGCGTGTCACACAGTCAGAAACTCAAGTGGCTCATTTAGCCTGCATTTCCCTGGGTTTCAGGAAAACTCCTTGTAAATAAATATCAGATTGTTTACTTAGGAGAAGAGGGCTTGGCTAAAAATCTGCTGTGTTGTTCATGAGCATTTGGGACTTCAGGGTCTTCATGGTGGGATAAGGGAGAGGATGTGTCCACTAACACTCTTAAAATAGACCAGTGTTTAAATGACAGAGCAATTTATGGACTCCAGGCAATGCAGGACAGCGAACGTCTCTCAAAATATGGGCTCTGTCCCCACACGAGTTATGACAGATGACAGTTTACTAAATATATCTGCAATGCCAAAACAAACAGCACTGCATTCCAAAGTAAGAGGTCACTGCAGTCTGCTTTCACACGCTGCTTTTCCCTCTGATCTGCAAGAGACTTTGAGCAGGACTGAAAGATGAAGCAGAGTTTGAGTGTGTGTATGTGAGGGTTTGCCAGGGAGATGGATTCCCATTTTGGCAAATGCCATCAGTTGTGCTTTCAAGGGTCAGTGTAGTATCTCATTATAGTCCCTACCTATCCCCTGTGACCAAAATAGTCTCAGTCACCCACAAGATTTACACAACAGCAACTTGACACAGATAAGCACTGAATGAATGAGACTTTCCAGCTAGAGATAAATGCGATAAATGTTGAAAGTAATGAAAAATTAATTGTATCTCCTGCCCTGAAGAAGATTTTAAATATCATATGCTTTTCAGGCTTGTGCATAAATACACATAATTCTGCATCTTTAATTGAAGTAAGTATTCATCTCAGCTGTTTTTCTGCTGACAGCTCAATGGAGTTACTCTGTTAGTGATCATTACAATTATTTAGTGGTACTGGGGTCTTGCTAAGAGCTCTGAGACTACAGAAACCTGAAACTAAAATATATGCCCATTATTTATTAAATAATAAATTTTATAGTAAAGAAAACCTTTTGTATGAAAGTATCAGCCCAGCGGAGTGAGGAACCCACAACAAACTGAATTTTTTTTAGAAACCATAAATATGATTCCCTCAGTCCTCCTTGCAAATCTCAGCCAACTGAGTCATCAGTGAAGAAATAATAATTTTAGTGGGATTCCTACATGGCCCCCTACATGTCTCATCCCAAGTGGGAGCAGTACATGGAACAGGGCAGTGTTCAGGCAGGCTGATGTTTGCCTGAGCTTTAATCCCCTTGCAGACAAAATCCTGAACTTGAATGCTTGGAAAATTGCTGTTGATAATCTTATTTTGAGGGAAAAAAAAAAAATGTACTTCAACCAGCATCTGGCAAGGTATAAGCCTTTAGCTTCTGCCTTAGAAAAACCCTTTTCTGCATTTGCATTTGGCTGGCTGGTAAAGTTTCTGGAATTACATTTTTTTTCCTGTAAAATTCTGAGGACAGAGTAGCAGCCTGAATTCCCCTTTTCTGTGTTATGTATCACTGCACAGTGGCAGCAGGGCAGGAGACATTTCATAGGCCATAAAACCAGAATGGGCTTAATCCTCTTCTCACAGTAGATTTACATTTGTGTGACTGTTAGTAAAGTTGGCAGTAAAGATGTTGACAGAGCTGAGGGCTGGCTGGGGCCCAAAGGGCACTGATTTTTAAAGGTGGCAACTGGGATTACTAAATCCTGCTTCCAAAGAAGCCTTAGCCCCACTTCCTATCCTTGAGAGCTTTTTTGTTCTCCACTGAATCATGGTTGAAAATGGGCTGTATCCACCCAAGATATGTCAGTGTGCAGGGGAAGCAGAGGCAAAGCAAACTGCTGCTGCCTGGGAGCTGCTGAAGGGAGCTTTGCCCTGACCATGGAGGGGTGAGAAGGGTACCTCATCCAGTGTTTCCATGTCCTGATGTGGTTTCTGCAGTCCTCAGCCCAGGTGTGTCCTAGAACTATCAATACCTGCAACTACAGAGAAAGGTTTTTTTCCCTCTTAGATTCCTTTCCATTCTTGGAGGTGGCAAGGAAAGGCTTAAAAGGGGATTAAAACACTGCTCAAAGTGAAACTCCTGCAGGTCTTGTCTGGGCCTCAGTGAAAGTGCTTCAGGGGTGAGAGGAGGCCAGCAAGAGGAAAATGCCCAAGCCCTTGCTTGCCTTCTGCTGCTCATTTTTGTTTTACAAGCACCTGAGCTTGCAGCTGCCGTTGGAGCTCTTTTACAAAGCTGCTTGTCCAGCTGCTGTTATTCCCTCATCCGTGCTCTGGGTTCCTGAATCCAGACCTGGCATTTGACCATTGTGTTTCTCAAGCTTCTGCTATGGTCAGCTGAGCAGTGTTTCTTGGCAGGTTTCCCTCGCACAGCTTCTGAGAAATAGAGCCAAAAGTGAGATGCCAAGCTGCTGGTGAGATACAGAGTGTGTGGGAGGCACCAGCCAGCCTTGGAGCACGAGGGCAAAGCTGACAAGACTGGTGTGGTCCTGACTGCAGGCTCATTACAGTGCTCTTATAAACACAAGGGCTGCAGCTGTGACAGTCCAAGGATAGAAGAGGTATTATGTTTTGTTACACTGACTAATGTAAGTGAAAAAAGTGGATAAATGTTTGAGCTTAAGATAAGGGGATTCTGAATCCAAAACCTTGCCTGAATTTACTGATAAGGTTGGGTCAAGGTCTTATGGGCTCCTAAAAGTCTGTAAAACCTTGACCTGATCTTATCAAGAGTCCAACAGACTCCTAAAACACAGTCTGCTAAGCCCACTAAGCCAATCAGGAATGCAAGGTTTCAAGTGGGATCCACAAAGGTACTTCAGTACCTGAAGCAGGACTTAGACAAAGCAGAGGTAAATACCCTCAGTAAATACCTGTGCCTTGGCTTGAAAAGACAGGTCTCTGCTAAGGAAAGCAGGAGCCTCCCTTGAAATGGAAAATGTAAACCTCCTCCCTCCAAATTACTATAATTTTAAATTAAGGGTCTCTCAGGCAAAGATATGGGAATAGGAACAACAGTTCTTTACTAGGAAAATTAAAATAAATAAAATAAAAATGTGGTAATACAAAAGACAGAGTCAGAATCCGACCTGACACGCTGTGGGTCAGGGTGTTGGTAGCAGTCTGATTAAATGGTGTCTGCAGTGCTCCTGCAGTGAGAGGTGTGGTTTTGTCAGAGCAGGGATCCTGTAGAAGGATGTAGTTTTCTTCTGAAGGTCCAGTGGTGGTAGGTAGATAGGCCTCATCTTCTTCTGGGAATCCAGTGGAAACAAGCTCCCCTGGTGTTCCAAATCTCAAATTTTTATCCAGGTAGGAATGTTTGGCTCCTCCCCCTGGGCAGAGCATCTCCCAGTGGGATGACGTAATTTTATCAGTCATGCAGGGACACTCAATAGCCCATTAACAGAAGAGATCTCCTTGAGAGAGGATGGCTTGTGGAAGAGATAAACCCCACCAGGTTTTAACAGCTGGCCCACTAATAGAGGATATCCCCCCCTTGAGTTATGAGGGATGGGTCATGGAAAAGATAAAGAACATTGCTCCACCTGGTTTCAACAGCTGGTGATAGAATACATACTCCTTGTTACATCTTGCATTGCAACCTAAGACAACCTGCAATCCAAAAAACCCCACTAAGATGGAATTGAGGGATAGAGATGATCACCTTTGAATTTTAATTTTCAGGGTGAAACCTGAATTTCTGTTTCTTTGTGTAACAAACCCTCCTCACCTGTAACTGAGAAGCTGGTGCACTTTTGGAGGTGGGAAAACAGAGTGGAAACCTTTATTCACACATGATGCCTGCAGTACAAATAGAGCAAAATGAGCCCTGCACAGTTCAGATGGCAGGTGCCTGTCCTCAGGAGACTAACCTGGGATGTGCCTCTGTAAGAGCAGAATCCAGTGCCTTAACTCTGAAAAATCTGGGAGTTCACACCAGCACTATTTTCTTTAAGACAGTAAACACGTCCCTAATGCAATCCAGTATAGAAAGATGTAAGTGCATGGTTCTGGCTCCTGGATGCTGTCATAAGGTTCAGGTGCTAATCTCTAAGTGTAGAAGTCTTCAGTTCATCCTGTTTTAGCCACACAAACCACAATCCACAGGTAAAATCGAGAGAAGAAGGGAACTGAAGAAAATATGAGGATTTCTTCTTTAAGAAGTGTAGATTTGCTAATTATGGACCTATTCCAGGAGATTTCCTACAGATTTGCTGCGATGTAAGTGTTATTAACCTATTTTACTCTTTTGGAACTGAGCTCCTCCGTCCTAAAATTAGCTGGTGACCTAACAGAGCATTTAGGCATGGGCACCTGTAACCATCAAAGTGTTTCCACTGACTTCAGCAGAAAGAGCCGGGTGCTGGAGGCAGCGGCGGCGCCCCAGCGATCAGCCGGAGCCTTCTTACATGCCAGGGACAGTGTCATACACAGAGCTTAGATCAAATGGGAGGAATACAGGGAGCATTTCTAACATGATTACTGTCACATTTCCTTTTATGTTTTCCAGAGGAAAATAGTATGCAAATGTTGCATGTGCCTGCATGGATTCAACCTTCCTTTCCTCTTTTTTGATCTCTCTAATTCTGACAAACAAGCTGGCTGTGATTGCTGAAGGGAAACTCCCCCCAAGGTGTTGGGCCACAGGCATTTTTTGAGGGGCACAGTGGGTTTAGGCAGACCCCTGTTTTATTGCTTCTGGCTACACTTTCCCAATCCAACACTCTTCCTCCAGTTGCACCTCAGTGGGGACAAGGTGAATTGTGTCTGGGAACTGAACCAGGGTAAAAATAACTGAGGAGGGGAGGTGCTGCTTTTTTAAAGCAGTTTCCTGGTCTGTTTGACAACACAACAGCACAAAGAGCTGCACCAGCACAACAGACAGAGCATAACCCGACTGGTCCATCAAATCACTGCCACCAAAAATGGTGCCTGCAAAACTGCATCCGTACTTCCTTGGTGTTGCTGCACCAGCAGAGTGGAAGGTCCTTTGGAAAGTCCAAAGGTGAGTTTCTACTGTCACCCCTTCTTCCCCTTTCCCAATTCTCTCTCCTGCAAGGGATGGGGTGAGCAGAGAGCAGCTGGGCACAGAGGCTGATGTTTCTGGCACAGTGCTGATCTCTTGTTTTCTTGCTTAGTGTCCTGTTCCCAACTCGTGCTTCTGCTGTGCATTCTTGTCCCTGTGCTAGATCCTGCTGCCCCCTCTGTTGTGCTGACATACCTCTTTGTGTGTCCACACTACAATCAAACCCTGGGAGCAATCCAGATCAAAACAAAGTATTCTTCTTCAGGACTAACTTTCATCTGGTTCCCAGCTCCAGCTCCAGCACTCACACCGTGCCAGCACAGCACGGGGGGGCTGCACACAGGGGAAAGAGGAGGGTCACTAAGCCAAAGGTTTCTCCTGGCAGACTGCAGAGCAAACATAACTTGGAGTATCCAAACAAAATTAGCTTACACAGCCATCACAATCTCTCAGAGTTAACACTTTATCTAGACTGGGGCTGGGATTTGGGGACATTTGATCTTCCTCCAATGCTGGAATCTAGACATACAAATTCTGCATTATGGAAGGAATGTCCTACCATGAAGCTCATGCTGTTGAGCCCTGTGGGACCTATGGACCAATCTTCCAATTACGACTGGAAAAGACTTCTGAGGTCATTGAGTCCAACTGTTAACACAGCACCATGACATCCACCACTAAACCCAGTCCCCAGGTGCCACATCCACACATCTTTGTTAACACTTCAGGGATGGAGATTCCACCACTTCCCTGGGCATCCTGTTCCAATGCCTCACAACCCTTTCAGTACAGAAATTTTTCCTAATATCCAGTGTGAACTTCCCCTGGTGCAACTCAAGGCAGTTTCCTCTTGTCCTGTCCCTTGCTCCCTGGGAGCAGAGCCCAAACCTCACCTGGCTCCACCCTCCTGTCAGGGAGCTGTAGAGAGTGGTAAGGTCTCCTGAGTCTCCCCTTCTCCAGGCTAAACATCCCCAGATCCCTCAGCTGCTCCTCACCAGACCTGTGCTCCAGACCCTCACCCAGCTCTGTTGCCCTCCTCTGTTCATGCTCCAGCCCCTCAATGTCTTTCATGTAGTGAGGGGCCCAAAACTGAACCCAGGATCTGAGGTGTGACCTCACCAGTGCCCAGGACAGGGGGACAATCACTGCCTGGATGTACAAGAAACATTCAGCTCAGTGGCTTTGCCATTCTGGATGGTGTGGGAAGGTGGTGAGACAAGAATCACTGCTGCACTGATCAGACCCTCTTTCAGGAGCGAATTTCATGGGAATTGTGAGAGCTCCTCATCCCCACTGCAGTTATATTCATCACTGCCTGACAGTGCTGCTCTGTAGGGCTTTTCCCCAGTGGTCTGTGCATCCATCCAGGCAGCTCATTTCAGACAGCCATAGAAAGCAGGCAAGAGCCCTGCTCTCACAGCTTCCAGATCTTCACCTTCCACAAAGCCTGATCCCTGTCAGCCACTTGCTATCCTTGCTGGCAGCACCCATGTACCTGTCAGTGATGAGATGAAAGCTTATTTTCAGAGAATCAACAGCCTGAAGATTTGGAGACAAAGTAGGCATATATGACTTAATTCTAACTTTGTGTCTCACACCTTTTTTATGGAATTACTGTTTAATTGCTCATGTTAAACCTGTCCAACAATACCATTTTGTGTTAGCAACACTCAGTGTCATATCTTCAAAGTGCTTTACAAGTGAGTTATGAAATGTGTAACTGGAGTGAAAACAAGCACCTTGGGCTGGGAGCTGTGCTGTGTATGCTGGGATGAGGAGCCCTGTGATTCATGGCAGGGTGAAGTCAGTGAGAAGAACATGGAGAGATAATGTGGGATGGTGTTCTCCAAGGCATAAAAGATCAAGGCTCCATGAGACGACTTCTGGTGAATTTCATAGCATGCGCAAGACCCTCAAGTGATCAACAGGGGACTTGAAATAACTCTTCAAGTATTGCAGCTTGGTTCTGATACTGTATCTTCTTTTCTCCTTCCTCTAGCACAAGAAAACTGGCAGTCAAAAGTCATAAATCAGTCAGAAATGTTTATTTCACTTTGAGGATATGCATTACAGTAGCCTTAACACAGGAATTAGGAAACCACAGCATAGCCCGAAGGCCTTTGCCTTCAGCTGTGTCCGTGGAGCACCAGAGAGCTGTGTCACTATACAAACACTATACAAACATTAGTTAATCCTCACTAAAACAAGTTTAGAAAGTACACAAAGAACCATCACGGGTTGGTTTGTTGCCAGGATGGCAACAAAGCTCGATTTTGATGATTTTGACCAGGTGTTTACCAAGGCAGGGCGGTCAAGTCGTAGCCAGCTCTGATTGATTGTTGCTTCTGCAAGTCAGTGCATTCTCAGGCTCCAGCTGAAATGACACTGAAAGGGAGCAGGATTCACTTTTGCCTGGAAATGAAAAATTTCCTTGCAGAAAATCAGGGCTACAAATCTTGCAGAATTTCTTTAGGCAGATCTATGGGTATAAAGAGAAGCTTGAGTAAGCAGGCACATTTGGTTTTGTAGTCTTCAAATAAAGGATCTTACTCGCTTCCCTCCTTTAAGGTGGTTGATGTTTTACCAGCACAGATTGAGGAGAAGCACAATGTATTCACACTGGCAGGAAGTGGCTTTTGGAAAGTTATATTTCCTTTGAATAGCTGGCTGACCTCTGGGTGTGTAAAACAGTTTAATCCCAATATTTGTATCTTCTCACTTTGTGAAGTCTACAGCCAAAAGATATCCAGTAAAAAATGGGACAAATACAAGGAATTCCTTCTTTTTCCTCCTCCACAAACCCTCAACTGAGTTCTATAAAAAGACCCACAACTTATGTTTACATAACTGACCCCCATCTGCCTTCCAGAGTTCTGACTTGGCACAGCCAGATGATGCTGTCCCTAAACTTGATGAAAGTCTGAATCTGGAAGAGAGAGGTAAAAGGGTCATACCTGGGGTCTGTGCCTGAGATGAGGAGAGCTCAGCTTGGGGAGGGCTGTGGAGGCTGTGCAGAAACTGGAGAAGTCTCCAATGACGTGGTAAATTTGATTTGGGGGTGCTGCACATCTGTGACGATTTTATTTCTGTCTATCACCTGTAACCCCAAACATTCCCAGACCATAAAACGGTTCCTACAACACACAGGTCTTCTTACTTCCAGCACAAGTCCTTCCTCTGAAGCACATGGACACAGAGCGCCTGTGGCCCTGCCCGGCTGTCCACGAGGGGCGGGATGAGCAGCGCCGGGAGGGAAAACAGCGGGAAGCGCCGCACACGGAGCCAAGGCCGGTGAGCGCAGGCGGCCGCGGGGAGCCGCTCCCCTCCTCCGGCGGGCACCCCGCGACCCGCGGCCGTGCCGGGGCGTCCCGCGGGCGGGGGGCGCTCCCGGCGGCGGAGGCGGGGCCGGGCCGGGCTGCGGGAGCCGCGGCCGCGCCGCCCTCCGGCCCGCGGGCGGGGAGCGCGCTCGTTCGCTGGCAGCGGCCGGGGCGGGGAGCGGCCGCTCCGTCCTTCCTCCTCCTCCTCCTCCTCCTCCCTCCCGCCCTCGCCACCCGCGCCCGCCGCCGATGCCGGGACTGCGCCCGCGGTGAGTCTGCCCCGCCGGGACCCGCCCGCGGGAAGTTGCGGCTCCGGCTGCGCCTTTGTGCGGGAGCGGCGGCGCTGCCCGCCCGGTCCGGCCCCGGCCCCTATGCCCCGGCCGGCCGGTGCCGACGCCCCGCTCCGCTGCCCGCGCCCTCCGCCGCGCCGGTACCTGCCGCTCTTTGTTCCCCGCCGCCGCCGCCGCCTTTGTTCCCTCGGTGCCGGCTGCACCTTCGGCACCGCCCGCGCCCCCCGCGGGACATCGCTGCGCGGGGGGCGCGGATGGAGAGACCGCGCTCCCGGAGCGCGTCCCCGCCTTCTCCCAGCGCTGCCAAAGCCGGGGGAAAGGGGGAAGCACCGCGGCGGGGCAGCGGCGGGAGTTCGCCGGGCTGCGCGGGGAAGCGCGGCGGGCTCGGCCGGCGGCGGGAGCGGGCTCGGAGCAAGCTTGGAGCGGGCTCGGAGCAAGCTCGGAGCGGGCTCGGAGCGGGCTCGGAGCGGGCTCGGAGCGGGCTTGGAGCGGGCTTAGAGCGAGCTCGGAGCGGGCTTGGAGCGGGCTCGGAGCGAGCTCCCGCCCCCGCGCTCCTGCCCTGCCCTCCCCGAGCGGGGGCCGCGCTCCGGAGCGGCTCCGGCCGGGGCCGGCTCGTCCCGCGGCGGGGGAGCGCGCAGGGGGTGCGGGCAGGTGACCGGCACTTCCCCGGGGAGCCCTGGGTACCGCTGGGAACGTCGGTATCTCTTGGGTTGTGTGTTCGGGAACTGACCCTGCAAACTTAGGCAAAGTTCTCGGGAGAAGGGAGCGATTGCTCATCCGGGAGGGCCGCGGGAGGCGCGGGTATCTCCCTGCGCTGTGTGTTGCTGCCGGTGCTGCTGCCCGCTGCACATGGGCTCCTTTCTCTTTCCCGCCTCGCTGCCAGCCTCCCTCCTGCCTTCCCTCCTTTCCTCCCGGCTTTCCAGGCTCCTGGCAGCCGCCGGCTTCCTCTCGGAGCAGTTTTTACGGATCTGTGTTATTCCAGCTCATGGGATGCCGCACATGGGGCTCCTTGTCTGTAACATGGTGCTGACTTAGTGTCAGGTGCTCTGTGTGTGTGTTTGTATATTTAAGGGAAGGCTCCTTTGTCCTCCTTTCACCTCCAAAACTAAACCTAGGCTCAGTCTGAATCGTTCTGAATCAAACTGAATGGTTCTTCTCTGTTTTTCCCGAGAGCTGCTGGAGGCATCAGGAAGTAGAGCAGGTGCACCCTCCTCAAGTTACTGGGAATCTCGAGAGAGAAAACTTTGAGCAAGTGTTAGAGTTTCTCACAGCCTTTATCGTGTCTGGGACTGTGTGTTCCTCATGCCTCTGCTTTCCTCTTTGCCTATATCCCGCCTGTCCTCTCCCCCTCTTTCTGTCGTTCCTGAGTTTTCCTCCCTCTCAGCTCACAGGGTGATCTGCCCTTGCAGGACAGACAGACGGACAAAGACCTAAGTGCCACATGCAGCGTCCCGGCTCATTATTGTGACTGTTGGCCAAGAGAGCAGAGCCGTAGCTTGGCGGGCACGTCTGTTTACATCTCTGTGTGAAATGCAATTCCTGCAGAAGCGACGCGCGGCTGCTGGCTCCTGGTTAGCTGTGTCATGGGCTTCAGCCGCTTCTGGGGTGGCTTTGTAGCTCTGGGAAGGAGCAGCGTGGCAGCTGTTAACTCTGCTCGCAATAACAGTGTCTGCACACACAGCCACCTCTGGCTGAAATCAGGGCAGCCTAAATAATTGATTTCTGAGGCAGAAGGCGGCGTGTGATAGCAAGAGAGGATGGGGTGGTGTGGAGTGAGCAGGAGGTGGCAGGGGAGAGGAAGCCCTGGCATCTGCAGGTGGTGGCAGTGGGAATGAGTTGAAGAGAGAGGGATGGGTGGTGGCACTGGAATTTGGAGGTGAAACACCAGCAGTGACCGCAATAACGTGTCACTGTGTACTGATGTGTGCAGTGGCAATGTTTGGGCCTCCCTCATGTGAAATGCTGTACAAACACCTATTCAGAAGTGTATAAATTAATGTTCATTCTTCCCTTCTTCCTAATGAATGGTAATGAATGATAATTACCTTTTTACCTGAGTTTTCTATAAAAACATATATTAAAGGTCCTTTAAGCAATTCCTTACAAATACCCTCAGGAAACTCTATGTTAAGTACTGCTGATATGATACAGTGCTAAGATTTGAGCATGGTGGTTTTAAGAGGGGCAAAGGGACTGTACTTTAATGCTCCTTGGGGGTTCCTTCCAACTCAGGATGTTACGTGATTCTGGATATTCTAAGAAAGGAGCTAATCTTTCTCCTATTAAATCTGACTAAAAGTTCAGTAAAGTAACTGAAAATTTTGTTGGTGTCAGTAGCACTTGACCAGTCCTATAGTGTGCCAGCTATTTTTTATTTATTTGTCAGGCAAAGATTTTAAGCAGAGACACAATGAAGTAATTCAAGGAGCGGCGTGCATTGCTGGCTAGTGATCTAATAGCTTGAAAATGCTTTATCTCCCTAGCTGCTAATTTTAAGTTTTATGTTGAAAGAGAAAGTAAGAAAAACCCCCAACCAGTTACTGTTTGTTTCTTTGCAGCTTTTATCTGTGTGTTTTGTGTTACTCTTCCTCATATGTTTTGGGAAAGATTGCTTGCATGCTTTGGGAGAAAATTGCATTGTTTTAGGGGAAAAATAGGCCACAGTTTAGCCCATTTATTGAGTTAATCATGCATGTTGTAAAACCCCTTTACTAGTAATTATTCCATTAACAGTGAGTTCAGCTCTGGTCAGTTTCCTCAACATCTGAATATAGAAAGGAACTAAAGAAAAAGTCCCAAAGCGGGTATGAAGAAGGCCAGCTTGGGAGATCAGGTATAAAGAGCCTCATTCATTTTGGTTTATCTGTAGTACAGAGATATGCCCTTACTCCATGAATCATCTCCTGACATCTGTTTGCAGCGCTGTTTTCTTAGCAACTGCGGCTCTGTTTTAGATCTGCCCTCTCAATGGCCGGGTTTGTGCCGAAGGATGCAAAGAGACAATCCACGCTCTTCCTAGTGAAGCTGTGCCTTTCAGCCCATTTAGCCAATTTATTTTCTTCCCTGAGGCACAATAAATACCGGTTTTAAAAGTCTACCAGCTGAGATGCTTTTTCTGTGTTGGTGCAGAGATGCTTATCTGTTGCTTACCACAACTGAAGTGTTTCCCCAACGTGATCTGGCAGCGTGGGAGGGTTTGGCCATGGGCTGTGTCGTGTTGAAGGGATGAGCTGTGTGTGCACCACGCTTGCTCTACCTTTCCTGCAGGTTTTTTTGGCTGTTGTGGTCCTTCTAGATGTGGGAGAGGACGTGGTCTTGAAGGAATGCTCCCAGTGGTGGCAAGGACCCACTCCTAGCAACGTGCCTGTTTGAACAAGTAGTTGGATTAGGCAGTGGGATTATACACAATGTGGAGTGTGGAGCACTGCATGAGTAATGCTTTGGGATGGATCCATAAGCTGTGATTAAAGGGAAGGTGACACTTCATACACCTCTCACCTAATCTTTCCTTGCTTGAATTTCATCCCTGGACGGTTTGGGTGGGGGACGCCTGTAACTGAGGCAGATGTGGCCATGTAGACACTGGCAGAGCAGGTTGATCTGATTTTGCTATTTTTGCTCTCTAGAGGAGGAATCAAGACCTGACTTGGGTCAGAGGGAGTTTTTTACTTCAGCTGGTGTGGATGAATTGGTCAGGAATGTAAATGTATGGGAGTACAAGTGGTACTTGTACCACTGGTCCCTTGTTAAGGGTCAGACAATGTTCACCCCACTCTTTGTGCCAACATGCAGTTCCTGCAGGAGGAGCAGGAGTTTATACCTGTGATAAAACATATAGCTGCTGGACTATGAATCATAAAATACAGCTTATGTTAATCCCATAGGACATGAATTTGACTGCCTTTCACTTCCTGGACTGAGTTGCATCCTGCAGAGCATGAAAGGTGCCAGTAGCAAGCAGTCACTGTGAAGGATGAATGTATTTTGGCTTGGGATAATGTTGGGAGGGGAGGGACCCCTCTTGTTTGGAGCATTTTCTTTGCAAAAGGATTGCAGACTGAATACTGTTGCTGAATACTGACCAACTTCCTGCCACCTTCATGGATCACACACAGCTCCTGGTGTTGGTACAAAGAAGACAACGTCTGTAGATCACCTAAATGACAAGTACTCACGGCAGGAGATGGAACAGTCTGCTCCTGTGGGAACACAGGGACCAGGACAGGGACTAAACTTCTGTTTAGCCCAGCTTGTGTGCACAGCAGAAAGCTGTGTGAGGGAAAGAGCTGGTGTAGAACAGGCTGTTATCTCCCCACAGGAGGGGAAACAGGATGGGGCTTTGACTCCAGGCATAACTTTGGTCTCGTAGGGAGGCAGGTTTGCTTTCTAACCTTCCTGCAGTCTGCTGATAACTCCCTGCACAATGCAGCTGCACAGATTGGCTCGAGAGGTTTTTAAGGAGCTGCTGACCCTGGTACAAGCAATACAGTTTGTGACCAGGGATGATGAAGAAGAGAAAAGAATGGCATTAGTTATCTGAGCATTTAGACTTGGGCTGCAAGTTCTATCAAAGGAAATGACAATTAAGATGGAAAACAAAGCACTTGTAATTACTTTTATGGAAGTGTAGGGAGGCAGAAATGTGGGGTTTGCGGGAAAAAGTTTTGTTTTCTGAATCTTCTGGGCTGTTGGTTGCCAGGTGAAAGACCAGGAGTTGGTGAATAGTGAAGCAAAAGTTTTAAGCAGAGAGGGGAAGGAATACACTGGGTATC